GGGAAGGGAGGTACCTTTTGCAATAATATTCCAGACTGTTACATCATCAACAAGGCCAGGAACCACCTGAGAAAGCTAGTCCTTTTGCCCAGAAGCCAAGTGGGGTGTGGTGAGATAGTCTTTGAGCTTAGCAAGGAAGAAAGCACGGGCCAGGCAGAGGCTGCAGGACAGCAGTTCAATGGCTAAATGAGTCTGCCAAACCATTTGGACTAGAGTCAGTTTTACAGTTCTGAATGACTTTGGCAAAAAAAAATAATTCTCTTGAGAACCACCCAGTATTGACTTTTTAGTACTTGAAATATAGTTTTGTAGTACTGTTGCACTGGCTAAGCAACATGAGTTTTCTTGTATTTTAAATTTTCCTTTTTCAAATGTATTGCCAATGATTTGCCATAAGTCTTAACCTTCAAGAAAAGCCTCCCTTTTAGGAACCATAACGGGCAGGAAAGCATTCCATACGTTGTAGATAAAAGTTTCCTTTTCATCTATTTTCAAGCCTCTGTGAACAAAGCAAATATTCAAGGCAATAGACACACTAAAGAAGCTTTCCAGAATGGGGCAGTTGTGATTGGCATGTACATATTAATAACAATCATCCCTACCGACCCTCTTACACCAAAACCATGTACACCTCAAGGAGGACCTAAATCACAATGCCTTGCACAAACTGTCATAAAATTACAGCTGCATGAGACTGGTCCCGTCTTCATCTTGTCAGAGGTCATAAAAATAGTAGGACCGATAAAAAGTATTAAAAAGACACATGAAATATCAGCAGAATCAGTGGGAAATCTGAAGGACACCCGTTTGTGAAAATGCATTATCCAGGAAGATGTCTCTGCAGAAATCGTGCATCCCATCTCCCTTGCTACCAAGTTAAAGTGATCTTGGAAATCAGTGCCCAGGAGCCAAAACAGAATGGACATGCCCTCAGCATCATGGTAGCCAATAGGTGTTAGCAGACAGCAAACCCTACCATGGCAGAAACCCAAGGTTGAGCGAGAGAGAGAGCCAGATTGTATCCAAGGTAAAATGTGTGTCACAATGGCCTCATTTAAAACGGTCACTCTTCAGAGCTTTGGGGGGGGGGGGGCTGTTGGTTGGGAAATTGCATTAGGCATGAACTGCTACTCTATGTATTCTTGTGGCCCTGAGGTCAAACAACAAGAGGTCAAGATTCTTGGGCTGAGCCCTAACTGTTTCCTTAGAGCTGAAGCAACAGTTGAAATGTTTCAGGCATTGTTCTGACAAACCAGCTGTTTGAAGGAATGCTGTTAGGATTGAAAATTCCCAGGAGAGCTTTGCTTTCATCTTGAAGCACACTCCATTTTTCATTTTATGCATGGCCCTTTTTGTTCCTACTTCTGATCTTGTTTTTTGTCTCCTGCTTGAGAGAGCTTCAAAATCCAAAAGTACTTTAAAAAGCTACCTGCTTTTCAGAATTTGCCACTTAAGGCCTTCCTTTATATTTCACTGGGCCCTGAAAGTTTATTTATTATTTATTAGATCAGAGGTGAGGAACCAGTGCTTTAGATGCTGGAACTCACACACGTCATACAATCCGCCTTGCCTACCCTACAAAGTTCCATTCAAAAGAGGTGCCGGAACTCCGTTCTGGGCATTCTATGACAAAAAAAAGCCCTGTGAGGAACAATGGCCCTTTTATGACTTGTGGACTTCAACTCCCAGAATTCTTGAGCTAGCATGGCTGAGAGTTGAAGTCCACAAGTCATAAAAGGGCCATCGTATTAGATTTTTACCTTGACTTTATTACTTTATGTAAGTCAAGGCAGCAAAGATACATAATACTTCTTCTTCCTCCTCCTATTTTCCCCACAACAACAACGCTATGAGGTGGGTTGGGCTGAGAGAGAGTGACTGACCCAAGGTAACCCAGCCTGCTTTTGTACCTAAGGCAGAACTAGAACTCACAGTGTCCTGTTTCTATGCCAGCACTGTCAACACTAGACCATACCTGATTCTCCATCCCTGTGGAACGGACACTTCCTAAACATCCTTGTCTAAAGGGAGGACTTTCCTTCCTTTCAGAGAACGGTGGCAAATATCTGAGTAAGTCTCACTTCCAATCTTTTGAAAGAGTGTTATGAACCACCACACCTGGATGCCTGTGAGTAAAAGGAGAAACCTAGAAGGGTTTTTGTCTGTGTATGAATTATCCAGAAGCAGCAGGAGCAGAAACCATAAAGGTAACCAAAGTCAACACAAGACATTTGGCTATTTGAAATAAGTCAGGAACTGTTGCCTTTCATCCCCTCACTGATGGTCAGGTGCAAACTAGCCAGGATATTTTCCCAGATTCGGTAGAAAATCCCATATTTCTCTTTTTTAGAATAGAATAGAGCTGGAAGGGACCTTGGAGGTCTTCTAGTCCAGTCCCCTGCTCAAGCAGGAGAACCTATACCATTACAGATAAGTGACTGTCTAGCCTCTTCTTAAAGACTTCCAGTGATGGAGCACCCACAATTTCTGAAGGCAAGCTGTTTCACTGGTTAATTATCCTCACTGTTAGGAAGTTTCTCCTTAATTCCAGGTTGCTTCCCTCTTTGATTAGTTTCCAACCATTGTTTCTTGCCCTGCCCTCTGGTGTTTTGGAGAATAATTTTAATCCCTCTTCTTTGTGGCAGTCACTCAAGTACTGGAATACTGCTATCATGTTACCCCTATTTCTTCTTTTCTTTAGACTAGCCAAACCCAAGTTCTGCAGTCATTCTTTGTATGTTTTAGTCTCCTGGCCTTTGATCATCTTAGTTGCTCTTTTCTGAACTTTTTCCAAAGTCTCAACATCCTTTTTGTAGTATGGTGACCAAAATTGGTTGCAGTATTCCAGGTGTGGTTTTACTAGGGTTTTATAAAGCGGTACTAATACTTCGTGTGATTTTGATTCTATGCCTCTGTTTATACAACCCAGGATTGTATTAGCTTTTTTGGCTGTTGCTGCACACTGCTGGATCATATTCAAGTAATCATCCATTAGGACTTCAAGGTCCCGCTCACAACCACTATTTTTGAGCCAGGTCTTGCCTAATCTGTACTTAAACCTTTGATTTTTCCCTCCTAAATGTAAAACTTTGCTTTTCTCCTCATTATAATTCATTTTATTGGATAGGGTCCATTGTTCAAGTTTGTCAAGATCTTTTTGGATCCTGAGCTTGTCTTCCGGGGAGTTGACTATTCCTGCCAGTTTAGTGTCATCTGCCAATTTGATGAGTTCCCCTTCTATTCCCTCATCTAAGTCATTTATGAAGATATTGAAGAGTACTGGGCCTAAGAGGGAGCCTTTTTTGCACAGTACAAATACAATAACACGATAAATAGTGATTTGCTACCCTTTCAGGATGCTTAATGCATCCTGCTTGATGTGATTATCTCAGTTCACCTCATGATAGGGCCAAACCTTGAGTTGATAGTCCTTACCAATCCCATAGCCATTCCACTATTAAAGTATCATAAATATTTTCAGCTACCTCTTTGGGCTGAAGAGAGAGTTTTTATTATTTGCTCTTCATTGTTTGTACACAACAAGGGTATCTGGCACCTTCTATCTCATTGTGCCATTCTTTCAGAACAGAGAGTTGGAATCCTGATATTTTTTTCTACATAAAATATAGAACTATTATAGACAGATAATCCATTGACTGACTTTTTCTTCATATTTCTTAGATTACAGATTTACATGTAGCCTTGTGAAGAAAAGCCACAAGAGCCTCTGCTTGGTCACCAGTTGCATAGAGCATGCTTCGACATCTCGCTAACCTCATACCCGTTACATTGCTGGCTGGGATGCAAAATTCCTCTTCTTGCCTATCACCTATTTGCCAACTGCAATAACAGATTACATATATACCTTTGTTTTTCCAAAGCCAGCACAAGCAGTGTAGATTCCATTCTGGAAAATGTACAGGTAGTCCTCAACTTACAATTGAGCCCAAAATTTCCATTGCTAAGCAGGGCAGTTGTTAAGTGAGTTATGCCCCATTTTACAACCAATTTTGGCACAGTTCTTAAGTGAAACACTGCATTTGTTAAGTGTATCATGCGGTCATTAAGCAAATGTGGCTTCCTCTATTGATTGTGCTTGTCGAAAGCCTGCAAGGAAGCCTACAAATGGTGATCACCTGATCAGAGGACAACGCAACTATCATAAATACATGCCAGTTGCCAAGCACCCACATTCTAATCATGTGACCATCGGAATTCTGCAATGATACTAAGTGTGAAAACTGATCATAAGTCATTTTTTTCAGGGCCATTGTAACTTTGAAGGGTCATTAAATAGATGGCTGTAAGTTGAGGACTATCTATATTACAATTGTCCAAATGAGCAATCAGACTGTTCGGTTGCAGACCATTTCATCAATACAAGAATAATGCATATTTCCAACTTTATTGCTTGAGAACAAAAAGTCTTCAATCTTTGAGGTAAAGGAACAGAAATATTTGCAAAAGTTGTTTCCTACCCTCTTGTTTACTTTTAAAACAAGAGGGTAGGGAGGCATTTATCTAGCATGCTTTCATTTGAATTTCTTAGATGGTGTTGGAGTAGATGGCCTAAATGGCTGATGTGATTCTAGGAAGCAAGGTACATTTGGAAATATGCCAGATCTGGCAATAGTAGTAGTAGTAGTAGTAGTAGTAGTAGTAGTAGTAGTAGTAGTAGTAGTAGTAGTAGTAATAGTAATAGTAGTAGTAGTAGTAGTAGTAGTAGTAGTAGTAGTAGTAGTGATGATGATGATGATGATGATGATGATGATGATGATGATGATGATGATGGAAGGGATCTTGGAGGTCATCTAGTCCAACCCCTGCTCAGACAGGAAACCCTATACCATTTCAGACAAATGGCTGTCCAGTCTCTTCTTAAAAACTTCCAGTTTTGGAGCATTCACAGCTTCTGAAAGCAGGTTGTTCCACTGACTAATTGTTCTAACTGTCAGAAAATTCTTCCTTAGTTCTAGATTGCTTCTCTCTTTGTTTAGTTTCCATCCGTTGCTTCTTGTCCTGCCTTTAGGTGCTTTGGAGAATAGCTTGACTCCCTCTTCTTTGTGGCACCCCTGAGATATTGGAACACTGCTATCATATCACCCCTCTTCCTTCTTTTCATTAGACTCACTAGACATACCCAATTTCAGCAACCGTTCCTTATATGTTTTAGCCTCCGGTTCCCTGATCATCTTTGTTGCTCTTTGTTGGCCTTCTCATCAACAAGGCCTGAGAAACCAAGTCCATTTGCCCAGAAGCAAAGTGGGTATGTAGTGAGATCATCTTTGAATTTAGCAAGCAAGAAAGCATGAGCTAGAAATTAGTCTGCCAAACAATTTGGGCTGCAGTTAGTTGTACAGTTCTGAGTGACCTTCCTTTTAGTTTCCTTATTTTTCTGGGAATACTGCAGATCTGATTGGTGGGATAAGTCACATTATTTTCAGTCTTTGATTTTGCTCAGTTTTGTCTTCATGCCTTTCCCCACAGCTGAATTTAAGTGCTCTCCACCCATTCTAAACTCAGCAAAAAAAAAAAAACCCCACAAAAAACAAAACCCATATACCAGCATAAAAATTGCAGCCCTCATTTACTCATCCCCATCCTATCACCTTCATTTCCAGTCACTGAAGTCCCTGATTTTGCTTCATGGGAATACAGTAGGTGACAAACAAATATTATACATATTGAGGCTGCCTTTAAATAATGTCCAGATGAGAGGGAAAATCCTGACTGGATTACTGCAATCCAATCTACGTGGGTTTGCCCTGAAAAATCATCCATAAATTGCAACCATTGCAGAATACAGCCACACATACCTTTTTGCCTAACTCTCTGTTAAAATTTGTCCAAGTTACACTGCTATTGTGTGAACTACAGTGACTCTCTGTTGCTTCCGGGTGCAATTCAAGGTGCTGCTCATCACCTTTAAACTATACATGGTGCAGGGCTAGATTAATTGTGAGATTGTCTTTCTCCATGAATATCTGCCTGTCCCACTAGGCAGTTAGGATGGTGGCACTCCAGATCCCTCCCCTTTAATGCTCTCATCTTGATGAGGTATCAGAGAGATTCAGTCTCTGTAGCTACCCCATCTTTCAAAACAGACTCCTGCCAGAGGTTTGGGGGATTCCTACCCTTTTAGTCTTCTAAAAGGCCATGAAGATCTGGATCTTTCCTCAAGCACTGAGCTAGGAAGTTGGTTGAATCAGGCACTTAATAACTTGGTTGGTCTGGTGCTTGGTTCTATTCTATCATTTTTATTGATTGTTGTGAATGATTTAGGATCATTATGTGAGATAGGCTACCATTTAAGTTCTTTAAATAAATAACATAAAAACGCTACTTCAGCACTGGCACCCTAAGAATATCTTACAGCTGTCCCAGTAAGAAGATAGCGATAAGATATTCTTAATTGGAAGGATGAGTAATCACAATAGAATACTAAATAAATTCAGAAACACCTCATAGGGATGAGTTTCATCCTGGGCCAGTTTGGGAATATTTGTTGTATATTCTATTCACAACATAACATGACATGGTCTTTAAAAAAGGCAATTAGTAAGTGGGGACTACCTATAAATGTTTTTCATGGAATTAAAAAAATAATACTCTGTCCAGAGCAAGATGTGGGAGGAGGGGGATTCTGGAATAGAGATTGCATCAGGCAAAACTGAAGTGGGGGGTTGGGGTTGAAATAGTGTCAGAGAAGGGTGGATGTTGGATGGCAGGCAACAGGGGTTTATTTTACCAGTATGTTGTTGAAGTATGTTGGTCAGAGGAAGGTTTAGTAGGTCTCTGGATACTGCAGGAATTCTTAAGCAATAGGGAAGGAGTGGCTGGCTGAGGTTTCCAAAATGGCTTGATCAGCAACTTAAGCATACCTACTGTACACTTTGCTTTCTGCCTGATGATCAGTATCTCACATTGTGCCAGCTTCTGATTTCACCTGAAATTACTGGATTGCATCCCCATGTTCTTTAGATAGCTTTGTTCTTTGTTTGTCCTTGCTCATTTTCCTGTTTTTCTCTTTTCTTCTCTCCCTTGATGGCTTGTCGAGTTAACTGACTACAGATGGAGTCCATAACATTTACACCATTTTTGTACTGGCCCCCATACATTGCCCCCAGATGTCTGTGAACCTCCAACCCTCGTGGATTTTACAAGATCATTAAAGACACTTTTATTTCACTAGGTCTTCGATGCCAGCTAAATCTTTATTGGCACTCACCTAAGGAAGATTAATTTATTGTCATTTTTTTATTATTTTGATTTATTCTATTGTTGCCTATAGAATTTTAACTCTTGTACCCACTCAAGAGTGTTTTGAACTGCATTGTCTATAAAAACTGTAAATACCTAAATAACTCAGGTCATTCTCACATACCATTACAGGACCCAGCTATCTGTCATCCCCATGGAAGCCTTGGTTAACCAGGATAGACGTGAGTGTAATATACAAGTGGCAAAGCTCAATCACCCAATAACCTTGTCGACTTCGTGAGGAATAACTAGATTGAACCAGGCCAAAATAACCACATAAGATTTAGCCACGATTATCTCCACAAAACCAGTACAACTTGAGTCAAACACTGAGAAGATCTGAGCAAATGTTTGGCAGATGCTTTGCATAATCCTCAGAACATCCTGCAAATTTCAGTGCAACTGTTTCTTATTTTCTGAAATGGGATGGTCAGGCAATTGTCAGTGGATGCAATAAGTATGTTTCATCACCTCTCAGGCACAAGAAACTAGGGCGAAATGGACCTTTTTATTGCTGCAATGCCTCCATAGTTGACGAAATGGACCTTTTTATTGCTGCAATGCCTCCTGATTCTCACCAGACTGATTTCATTCTCTTAGGAACAGTCAGGTAAGACTTCAGGGACTCTATGGGAGGTAAGGCCTGCACTCCTTTTGCTGTGCAAGGACTCTAAATCCAGCCCCCTCTTCACATCTCCCCTCGCTTCAGCTGGAGATTCCACCATGCCACCCTTATTACCACCATGTAGCCCTTAATAGGAGTTCTTCATCTGTGCTTGGTCAGACTCACTCTTTGACTTCCTCCCGTGGTGCTCTAGGTATCTCTTATGCTACTTCATCTCCTGTAGTCTTTCCGAAAATGAGTAGACCCTCTGGGTTCCACGTACGTGGAGAATCCGCATAGGTGTATCCCAATCCAAGGCTGCTATTTGCTCATTCCAAGCAGCAACTAAAACGTCAGCCAAACTTATCTTATTCACGTGTTACTAATTTAACAACTGCAGTGATTCACTTAACAACTGTGGCAAGAAAGGTCGTAAAATGGGGCAAAATTCACTTAACAACTCTCTCACTTAGCAACAGAAATTTTGGGGTCAATTGCAGTCATAGGTGGAGGACTACCTCCTGTACACGTGTTTAGGCTACTGTTACAGGGTCTGCCTTTATGTGGTTTGTTCTACTTTCATAATTATAATCTGAAACATTTTGAGGCTTTTCAATGTATTTTTTTTTTATTCTTTTAACAACTATCTTCTCTTGCAGCCATCCTCATATCAGGCTACCAGAATGTAAACACACACAAATACACATATAGTAATGCATGGACAGCATGTGTGGGTAAGGGAAGATACTAGTAAGTTGCTATTTTTGCGAAGAAAGGATAAAAGGATATTCATTAATTAATGGACCATTGGAAGTTCAGAGGCAGAATATTGGTAACTGAATAGGTTTAGAAGAGAAACTTCGAACAATGATTAGCTTGCATTCTCTGACCTTGGCTAGTTTGGATGAAGAAAGTGAGAACTACAATTAGCTGAAGATATTCTCAGCAGGCTCCAGACCAGACACACACACAAAGCTACGGATGCCAGTATGCCTAAAACATTGGAGATCTGCAAATGGTGAAGATAAGGGGGTCTTGTGAAAGACTGACACTGGCATACTTTTAACTGCATGTGTTGGCCAAATGTGGCAGTTGGAATAGACTTCCTTCCTCCCAACTTTTCCACCCCATTCTTTTACAGAGCCTGAGCAGGTTTAGGATAAGATCGAGTCAGCACAAAATCTGCGATGGAAGTGGGCAAATAAGAGAGAGGAACAAAGATCCACCGGGAGTCCCAGCCAGCAGAATAGCGTGTATAGGGGTATTTGGATATCAAAGCATGCTCCATACAGTCAGTCACCTTGTAGAGATCTGTGCAGCAACGAGTTGCCAGTTGGTCTTTGATCGCCTCACGAACTGTTTTGAGAGAGAAAGAGAGAGAGAAAGAGAAAGAGAGAGAGGAGAGAGAGAGAGAGAAAAAGGAGAGAGAGCAAGTGGAAGGAAAAGAAAGGAAGTCAGTATGGAGATGTGGGGTCCAAAATACTAAAGAGAATATAAATCAGTGGTTCTCAACCTTTTGAATGCCGTGACCCCAACTGGTCGTAAGTCGAGGACTAAACTGGTCGTAAGTCGAGGACTAAACCGGTCGTAAGTCGAGGACTACCCAACCGGTCGTAAGTCGAGGACTTTCCCTGCCCGGGAGCGCCGCGCATGTGTGGTTCCGCCCCCTGCGCCGGCCGAGGCGTAGCTGGCAAGCGGCAGAGACAGAGCAGGCCGACCACCAGCTGGCCCAGCCCAAGGGAGGTAAGGCACCCGCTGAAAAAGGGGGGAAAAAATGGCGGACAAAAAAAATGGCGGACAGCCTTGCTTGGCGACCCCCATGAAATGGTCGATCGACCCCAAATGGGGTCCCGACCCACAGGTTGAGAACCACTGATATAAATAAATAAAGCAGCCTCCATAATACTACATGAATGAAACAGTAATAACGTTTAACTTTAAGGACAACTTTCTCTGACTCTCAAACAACTAAGACGGGAAAAGTCAGTCTCTCCCCAGAGTTATTACAAAAATCAAAGCACAGGTAAGCTCCATGAGCTCTGTTATTACACCTCAGCATGGAAAAGCATAATTGTGTTTTAGAAGAGGACTTTCAGACCAGGAGAAAAGTCCAGCCTATGAGTGTCCCAATTGGTGCCTTGAAATCAGGGGTTAGGACACTGAGAAATTCAAAGACATTCTTGGCTGACTCTCCAGGCTGTATTACTTCCTCATCCAATAGCCCGGAAGAATTTGCCTCACCACAGCTTTATAAAGCATCTGGAAATTAAGACTATTTAAAAAATCCCCTCCAGATTTCAACCCATTCATCCACTTTGGCCACCATAATGTCTGGGACTTCTGTCCAGAACTGAGTGAACATGGCCTCTGATTGGTGGATTCCTGTACTTCTTCCTCCAAGTGCACACCTAAGTGCCAATTGCTTTCCGTGCTGTGGGCAGGACACTTCTTTTTATAACCAGACAAAAAATGGACAACCTTAGATCAAAGATGCTGATACAGCTGAGCACTGGCACCCAACCAAGTCCAAAAAATGGACTTCAATGCATGTGACAAAAGGGTGGTCTTCCACCACCCGTATGATGGGTGCTATTGAAGCTGAGCAACAGTCCCTCCCAGCTTCTGATTCCTGGTAAGCTTCTCCCGATTAGCCTGCAAGCCCACGTAAAGACTCACATGCATCGAAGTAAGGCTGGCCATAGCTTTCTTTGATTTCCTCTGGGGCTTTGATCCATTGTTGCTCCAGGCTCTCAAGATTTTTTTGGATATCAGTCATGGATGTGCGGAAATAGCCTGGCTCGATTATGGCTACTTTCACCCCAAATGAGTGGATCTCACGCCTAGAAAGAAATTATCAGTTCAGAGTTACTACCTGGGGGTGCTACTTCTTCCTTTGCAGAGCAGGAGAGATTTCAAGAAATCTGATCATTTTCAATCTGGTGAGAAAATACCATTTCTACATCAATCCTGCCATGGAAATTTATTTATTTATTTTATTTATTTATTTATTTCATTTATACCCCGCCCTTCTCCCGGAGGACTCAGGGCGGCTTACAGCCAGTTTAAAACAATCCCACATAAATACCAAATACAAATCTAAAATAATTAAAAATAAATATTTGAATTGGCCGCTCTATTAAAATTTTGTTAAAACCAATTAAAATACCCCCTAGGCCAGTCCT